AAAATAAGGTTTATAACGAGTAATCATTCCATGAGTATAAGTCTTTTTAGTTTTATTCAAGTGAGTATGTTGGAAAATTTGGGGTGACATCACAAGAATAGTAAACAAAATCTCAAAATTCTCGTAAAAAATAATGTTTCATCGTGTGCAAGGATTGGTGTGCCAAAACCCATAAAATCAAAAATTATACATATAGGAAAGGTGTGTTACCTAGGGAGATCGTATATTTCTAAAAATCTATAGATCTATGGGATTGGATGAAGAAAGTCAATTGTCCTCATCTCTAATGGTAATCCACATGGTAGGGGCTATGAAGACGCTCCTCAAATCATTACCTAGAATCTCTTCCACGCGTGCATCATGCAATCAAGAAGGGGTTCCCCGTTGCCTAAAATCTCTTCCTCGCATGCATCATGCAATCAAGAAGAGGATGCCCCTTCTTACTATCCACACGCCCCAAGTAAGGGTTGTATGTTGATGAGGTGACAGCAAAAAAGAACCTAACTCATGGTCATTTAATTCCCTCCTATTTATAGAGGCCCCTTGTCAACTTACACTAATGAATCCTGTCATATTCGGTACTAGATCTCCATCAAACTACCCAAGCCTCTTAGATTAGTGGGTCTCTACATAATAATATATTATTGGCTCTTATTGGAACTCATCCATATGATTCAATAATTCAGCGGCTTATTGGATATCCAATAAGATAAGGGCTCCAACGGATATCTCATATTTGAATATCTATTCGTCGCAACACCTACCATATGTGTGTGACCCTATAGGCCCAATATCGAGTTGGTTTTAATTCATACTTCTCAGAACTCTTTCTAGCTCAGTGAATTATTATCCCCATAATAATTCACTCAACTTATCGATTGCGGATATACTAGGCCACTACGTCATAGTCCCTAGATAATATAAGGAAATCCAATCTATTGGACATGTCTATCCTCAATTACCATGTATCTATAGTCCCTCATCTATCTAATACCCCAGAGATCGTATACCGGACATAGTGCTATCATGTCCATATAGTTTTTACTCGAGTCTCATTCTAATTAGATTCTCTCAGAGAACTCTTTCTCTCTCAATCCGAATGACCCAGGTTAAGGATTTGTCTGAGCAAGAACATATGAGATATTTCCTCTTATGACACCGAGAGTGGTATTGCAAATGCTCAATGCTGCTAGCAGTGGTACTGCCAATGCTTAGTGCTGCCAACGGTGGTACCGCCCAACACTGGCAATAGTACCACCAATACCTCAAAGACCCGAGGATAAGATATTTTACCATTATTTTTGAAGTCATTTGGGCCTATAAATACCTCACTTATTCTTGCTTAAGATAGTAAGAAAAGAACACTAAAAACTTGTAATTCTAAGTGTGTAAACTCTTGAGTTTTTTCCTCCTTAAACTTTCTAAGTCATTCCAAGGGAGGTGTGAGGATTACTTATAATTATTTATAAAGGAGTTGTAACAAGGATAGTTGATTTTCGCTCATTGAAAGAACATCGTTAGTGAAAATTGGTAGCCTCAACGAAGGAGGGATCGGGAGTCGACGTAGGTCGCGATGACCAAACCACTATAAATTCAGTATGTATTTCCTTTATGTTTTTCATTCTTATTGCTTAGTTGCTCACTACTTTTACTCACATTCCAAGTTAAATGTATTTCTGATATAGGTTTGATCAAAATTTTTCAAATCAATTCTTCATTTCGAAAGTACTAATTTACCCCCTCTCTCTTTTAGTGCCTTTACGATCCTAACACGTGGATGAGCCTGCACCTTCGATAGTGGACCAATTGGGCCGACTCATCAATCAATGGTAATCATAACACCATTATAGGGTGTGGGTGAAACTAGGGATAGGATGTTAAAACTAATATTTAAAATATAATAAATGAGAATAACATTTGCATATTATTTATACTTTTATTAATGTATTAGTTATAATTTTAAAGCGTGTGAGATTTGGGCCATTCAAATGGAATCCAGGTATGCTATCATTTGATACATCACATATATATTTATAATAGTTTAAGAATAATATTATCCAAATAAAAATGAAAAAAAAATTAATTTATTATATTATTTTTATCATCATAATAAAAACGATGTAAACCCTACTTAAAAAAATACTGTAAATGATTTGAATAGACTTCTATCTGAAATCAACTATAAAAATATGATATTGTAATGATCTACGTAATATTTTTAAATAATATTTATATATTTTTAATACCTTAGTGAAAATACTATAGATATTATAGAA